AGTGCTCCTGCTGCTCCTCCTGCCGTCAGGCCTGCGGGGGTGGGCTGTCGCCGTGACCTTTTTTCCTCCCGCCACTCTCTCCGTGGGTCGTGGGAGGTTGGCTGGGGTGGGAGAGTGGCTTTTCCAGCCCTTCATCCTTTCCCCGCCCTGGGGAGCCGCCTCCGGTGCCCCCGGCGCGGCAGGGAGGGGGCGGGCAGCCTTGCCTGACTTTCTTCTCTTGCACGAAGCGGGCAGGAGGAGGAGAAGATGCTTGTCGTGGGGACGGCGGTTCTTTCTTTCCCTCATTTTTGCAGTTGCTTCCTCGGTTAGCCCGAGAAGTCCTGTCGAGAGATAAGTTAGTTGCATGCAGCTTCCGTCGGTAAAAGGCCTTCTGGCACAGAGTCGGGCGGTCACTTGCGGTTTCACCTTTAAGAAATAATTAAATAAGACCTTGCGATGCTTAAGGCTTTGACAGTGGGTTTGCGTGCCCGTTGAAATCCACGTTTTTCTCAGCCTGTGTGGAGGTGACCTAGTTTCTAAACAGGGAACATATATGGCTGTCATGCTGTAATACACACTGTAAATTGAACTGTGCCAAATTAATTACACCAGGTGTTGCTGTGAAAATACGTCACTCATGGACCAACTGTTTCACATATAATGGTATCCCAAGGGATGATCCTGTTTATGCCATATTCATTTAATCTGGATTTCAGTGGAAACTGAAGCTGTCCTGAGCCGAGATTTTTACCAGTTCTCTAGCTGCAGCATGGGTAATACAGCTTTTACACGAAATGCCAGATCTCCCACTAGTTGGACCACGACATGAAGGGCAGCTGGGAGAACTTCACATGACATAACATGTTCCATTGCCACCGTCTTGATGGTGAACAAACAGGCTGATCTTCCGTTGAGAACAGCACACAACGTTCTCCTACAGAAAATCCAAAGAAAAATCCTGTGACTTGAAAAACTGTTGTTGTTGTTGTCTACTTTCACTTTATACCTATGCCACTAACCTTTAGCAGTTATAATGTTCTCAACTGAGAACAGAAGATACTAAGTAAGTCTAGTTTGTTGCATCTCTGCCCTAGATATTTATGGACATAGCACTTCCTAATCCTACTGTGGCACTAAATCCATTGAATATTGATACTGCTGATTTTATGGAAGAAGGTAAGATTAACTTGGGGGATCTGTATTGCTGAGCAGATCTCACATTGTTCCAATTGTAATGCTTTCATTTTATCACCTGAGGAGAAACTAAATCAAACTTTATTGTAAGCAGATTATACCTTATGAAGGATGTCTGCTGCTTTGAAGAAAAATACCTGTTTTCTGTGATTTCTTTTTCTTTCTCCATGTGAGCCAGTTTATTTAGGAAAATTTTTCTGCATCTTAGAAAGCTTCTACCATCTCCTAGTCATTTTCTTAATCAGTTCAACCCTGCCTAGCTAATAGCTTTCACTCTCTCATCTCTCTAAAATAGTGAGAAATTATTCACGCCTGTCTCTCTTTTTTTTTTTTTTTTTTTTTTTTTTTTTTTTATGTGACCAGTACACGGTGGCAAATGAATGACTATTGATAGTTAAGTATTTGGAAATATTTCATATCAGTTATGTTGAGCTATGCTATCTCTCAGATCCATCATTTGGCTGCTGGAAAGGTGACAGTTTGTGAGTCTAGCAGAGTGCTGCTGCGAGATTTTGTTTGAGAAATGCTGCCTGTTTCATAGGGAATTGATTTGAACAGCAGTGCCAATTTCCTACTCTTGTATGATTTGGAAGCTTTTTCTGTTCCTCCTATAAAGCCTCATATAGCTGTCAGTTTCTCTGCTCCTAGTTTGTCTTTTGTGCAAAGGGAGGAGATGGAATTGGGGGAATACCATAGCATACCTTTATAATAATGAGTCTCCATACTCCAGATTTTCTAGCAGTGAAGTACTGAAGCTGACATAGTGGCTAGTTAAACTCTGTTCTGCAGGGCTCTGTGTCCATCAGTGTTTTACTGGTTTTCTGCAGCAGAGCTTCCAGAAGATGCGCTGGAAGCAACCTGAAAGATGAGATGAATTTGTTGGAATAGAATAATATGATGATGGGACTCAAGGGCTGCACAGTGTCTGGAGTGCATACTGCTGATGGAGAGTTTTTTGTTCACTTGCTTCTTACCTGTTTACGTGAAATTCAGTCTCCTTATTTTGGCAGCGCTTGTGCACTGTCTAGGCTGCAGGCAGAGGCAGAACCCAGTGGCGCTAATGCAGCACTTGACGTGGGAGAGTTTACCGTGCTTCCTGAATAGGCTTTGCAGTCCAGGTGCCCTTATGCTGCTGGCCTCAAAGTAGTAGCTTAGAATTATTTCTAATTAGGACTTCACTGCAGTAATTTCTCCTTCTCAGTCTCAGCCTTCCCGTGCCTAGTCCTTCTCATCTTTTCCTTATTCATTTGTCCTTATTTATTCTTCCCCTTATGTCTGATGCAGTCTCTCAGTCAAGTATTTTCTTTCTCCAAAAAATGTCTAAGTGGTAATTGATTCAGCAGTGCTCTCCCGCTCAAGTAGCCATCAGCTACCATTTGGCTCAGTTACTGGCGATCTGGATGAGTAAGAGGTTGAACGTGCAGGATAAAAGAATATAAGGTTTTTTTAACGTTCTAGAGCAGCCCACTTGCTGAAATGTGACAAGGGCACATATAAAGCTACATGAGAGTTGAATTCTTGCTTAGGAAAAGTTCAGTTGTTTAGCTGACTACCATTCTCTAACTTTTTTAGATAATCCTATTTTCAACAAATAGCAGAAAATTACGAACTATTAGATTTGGTATCTAGTTACAGGGAAGACACTTCAGTCTTTGCGTGAAAAAGCGTTGTACTTCCATACTGAGCATAGAAGCCTTGAGCTGTAATAATTCACTCTGTAGTTCAGATTATGCAACTAAATCAGTAACTGTGTATAATTTAGGGGGGAGGGAGGAGGAAAGGGGAGTGTCTCAATATGAGAAGAAAAAGATCATAGAATCATAGAATGTTTTGGGTTGGAAGGGACCCCTAGAGGTCATCTAGTCCAACCCCCCTGCAGGAGCAGGGACACCGCTAACCAGATCAGGTTGCTCAGAGCCCCATCCAACCTGGTCTTGAATGCTTCCAGGGATGGGGCCTCACCTACCTCTCTGGGCAACCTGTTCCAGCGTTTCACCACCCTCATTGTAAAGAATTTCTTCCTTATATCCAGTCTAAACCTACCCTGGTTTAGTTTGAAACCATTACCCCTTGTCCTGTCACAACTGGCCCTACTCAAAAGATTTTCCCCCTCTTTCCTATAGGCCCCCTTTAGGTATTGAAAGGCTGTAATCAGGTCTCCCCGCAGCCTTCTTTTTTCCAGGCTGAACAAGCCCAACTCTCTCAGCCTGTCCTCATAGCAGAGGTGTTCCATCCCTCGGATCATTTTTGTGGCCCTCCTCTGTATCCGCTCCAACTGTTCCATGGCACATTGCCGGCTCATGTCCAGCCTTTCATCCACCAGCACCCCCAAGTCCCTCTCGGTAGGGCTGCTCTCGATCCTTTCATGCGCCAGTCTGTATTGATACTGGGGGTTACCCCAACCCAGGTGCAGGACCTTGCACTTGGCCTTGTTGAACCTCATGAGGTTCACACAGGCCCACCTCTCTAGCCTGTCCAGGTCTCTCTGGATGACATCCCGTCCTTCTGGTGTGTCAGCCGCACCACTCAGCTTGGTGTCATCCGCAAACTTGCTGAGGGTGCACTCGATCTCGCTGTCCAAGTCATTGATGAAAACGTTAAACAGCACTGGTCCCAGTACGGACCCCTGAGGGACACCACTCATCATCGGTCTCCATCTGGACATCGAGCCATTGACCACTACCCTCTGGATGCGACCAGCCAGCCAGTTCCTTATCCACCGAACAGTCCACCCATCAAATCCATAGCTCTCCAATTTAGAGAGAAGGATGTGTGGGGGACTGTGTCAAAAGCTTTGCAGAAGTCCAGATAGATGACGTCTGTTGGTTTTCCCTTGTCCACTGATGCTGTCACACCATCATAGAAAGCCACTAGGTTCGTCAGGCAGGACTTGCCCTTGGTGAAGCCATGCTGGCTATCTTGAATTACCTCTCTGGCCTCTATGTGCTTTAGCATAGCTTCTAGGAGGATCTGTTCCATGATCTTCCCAGGCACAGAGGTGACGCTGACAGGATCAGGATAGAGTGGGTGAAACCTTTGTGGACCAATTCTCTTTAGACTTACTTTGCTCATTAATGGCATTATTTTTGGTGTTTGACCAGCTGAATGTTATCTTTTGAACATCATAACCTACTTGCCTGTTGCAGTTGCAGGACAGCTGTGCATTTCAATGTCCAGGTGCTAAGCAGAAGAAAAGTTCTGCTTGAAGATGGTGAATTTGCAAGTAGGGGAAAGGATTGAAAGCCAAAAAATTCCTGTGTAATGCCCAAATGACTTGCTAAGAGGTAGCAGGGGGATTGCTACTAACAGAACTGCTACTCAGGCTGAAATTATTAGATCTGTTGCCTCAAAGTTCTGAAATAATTGCCTACGTGCTGGTTCAGTCGATGGGTAGAATCACCTGCCCTGTTAAGATTTCTACAGTTGTTTCATTGTTCAGCACCTTGATGTGATTGTTAGGTTTGTTAAGATCTTAGTTTGAAAATGTATGTAAATTTAAAAAATAAATTTCTGCAGACCTCTTAGATGTTTGACATTCTTAAAGTAGTATAAACTGACACTTAGCAAAAGGAAGAATACAGTGTTGGAATCTAAATAGCAACAGACTAAATATTTTTTATAAAATTTTTGATATTGCAGTTTACTGAACAGTTTGTAAAACTGTACAAATGTTATCAATTCTCAGAAATTCACGCCGAAGTGCAGTTGAAGAATTACGGAAAATTTCTTGAGGAATATACGTCTCAGCTGAAGAGAACTGAAGATGCTTTGGATGATTCTGTTGGAGATGTTTGGGACTTCAATCTTGATCCCATTGCATTAAAGGTCCTCATATATTTAATATATATTGCAACTATCATTTTCCTAGTTCCTCCTTCCCTTCAAAACCTGAGAAATAAAAGCTTGATGCATTTGTGCTTTTAAAATTTTGACTTTTGTGTCTGAGAAACCAATACAATATTATTTTAATTATCAAGTAATTGATAAATCAGTGCATATCATAAGAGAAGATGTTTTCATATTATTCTTTTCCAGTCTTCTGGATACTAGTGGAAGTTAAGTGAATTTACAGTTCTTCATGTGTTGGGAAGCCTCATTCCAGCAAATTTCTTCCCTGTGGGTTGGTGTTTTTATCTGGGGGTTGAGGTTCCAGAAGAGCTCACGAATATTTTATAAGTGCACCGTGAACTGTGTGTGTATTTATAGTTGTGTTTTGACTTAATGGCCTTGGTACAGTATTTTCTGACCTACAGAGGTGGCTGTTTTCTTGGTCACGAGCTCTCCGTCTTCTGTGGAGCACTGGTTTTTTTTTTTTTTTTTCTTCACTGAATTTGCAGACATCGTTTAAAAATGCTTTTGTTACCATATGGAAGTTGTCTGTGCTGAAGATGCACTCTTAAGTAATCATCTGTCTGAATAATTTGAATAAATTATGTGTAGGGCCAGCACAGTGCTGAATGTATATGAACTGATAAATATCATGGCTGACTTTGGTACAAAATGTCAGTTCCTGCATGCAGATATACACTATGCATCCTGGTTCCTGCGTTTGGGATTCTTAAGTCACGTTTTAGGTTTCCTGAGCTGTTTTTTCTATATACAACATAATGACCATGCTTTTGCTTTCCAAGTTCTGTAAGTAAATTGTTTTAAATGCTATGTAGTATAGCTAGTTATTTGCCTTTCTGCCTAGAGTAAAAGGAAAGGTATTTCCATGTATATGTGAAGAGTGAAGGTTTCCTGCAGTGTAGGTTGCCAGTCATGTGCAATTATTACTCTCTTATTACTGACCTTATGTGAGACTAAACTGAGGAAAAGATTACTGATCTAGTTGGATAAATGTATTTTTGACCAGTATTTTCTAAAGTAGACTGTTTGTTGTTTTTGTTTTGTGGGGTTTGGGTATGTTTGTTTATTGATTTATTTATTTATTTATTTATTTTAGCTTTTGCCATATGAACAGTCCTCCCTACTGGAGCTCATAAAGACAGAAAACAAGGTAAGCGCTTTATGCTTAAAAAAAAAAAAAAAAGGTTATTCTAGATAAAACCTAGCTCTCCAAACGTGAATCTATTTGTAATCTGTGTGGTTTTTTTCCCCTTTGAGTCTAGGTTCTAAACAAAGTAATAACTGTGTATGCTGCCCTTTGCTGTGAAATCAAGAAATTAAAATACGAGGTAAATTCAGCTGTCCTTTGTTACTGTGTATGAAAATGTTTGCAGATTGGCAAGCTGATACATAAATTTCTTTAGCAGTAAAGAAACAAAATATAATGTCTTAAGTAATTGTTATAGTGTGATTACATGTGTCCTATTTATTAAAAAACAAATCTCTGCTTTTGTTGTTAGGCAGAAACTAAATTTTATAATGGCCTCTTGTTTTATGGAGAAGGAGGTAAGTAGCTCCCTTTACTGTAAAAGTTTGCAGGTTTATGTTATTGTTTCAGGTTATGTTAAATGCTACAGTAAGTGTAATTTTGTAACACAGATACATGCTTTCTGTGTATCTTTGATGAACACCAAATAATGGACTTCTGTAACAGATTTATCTGTTACATTAACAGAAAGTTTTGTTGCAGCCTTATTTACGTGAGAAGTAGGGAGTGTGAGCTGTTGAGGTTGTATTTAATGTATAACATATAGAAACCTGAGCTTATATGCTGCAGCAGCTGTTTTTAAAAGCAGGGCATTGAAAACCTATTTTTCACGTGTAAACACATCCTAAACCAACTCATTTTGTATTAGGAATAGATTTTACATTGGTTGTAAACAATAAATCTGTAATATAATTGTAATAAAACACTGAAACCATTAATAAATAACTTGGAGCAATTCCTGCCTACTTTATGTATGCAATCATAGTTGTTCCAAGAGAAGTTGCAGTGTGTTAACGTCATCTGCACTTCAAGTGCAGGTAATAGTACTTGTACTACTGTTTAGATCATGACATAATACGGGGCCGTAAGTGATTCTAAGTCAATTCAACTAAGAAATTGTAAGACCCTGCTTTAGGTGAAAGCTGCTTTTTGTCTTGGAGTTAAACTGCTAACTCCTCCAAAGGGTTGGTCTTAAGTTTCCACCTCAAAGGCTTCTAGTCTGGGAATAAGCACAGATCTTGGTCCTGAGGACTGAATATATTCATGAGTTGATTTAGAGACATATCAGCTAACTTTGTTTTCTAGTTCAGAAATTTGAGAGAAAGGGAAAAGTAGCAAAAAGGGCTTTTTTGGAAAGCTTTTCAAGAGCCGTGACTCTGACAGAAGTATTTGGGGAACATGAAATCTTTGAGACAGGGGCTGTTTATACTTCTTTTAAGTGCAATATAAGATGACTGTTGTGGTTCAGTTAAGGAACATGAAAAAGTAGTGGGTTGTTTGTTTGTTTGTTTTTTTTTTCCTTAACATGGTTTTAAATATTTCAAAAGAAAGTGATATGCTGCCAAAATGGTACTAGGGGATCCCTCAAAACTTCTCCATGTCTCTAACATGAAAAACATCAGACTGTTGCAGATTAACATATTACAGCAGCAGTTTGTTCCTGATGAGTGTTCTGCAGGGAATGCTTGAGAATGGCAGGAACTGAGAGGTCAGCCTTCTGTGGGTTACGTGGGGATGCAGAAATTACGTTCTCCACTTCCATATCCCTCCTTGTAGCCTCTACTTTGATAACAACAAGCTTGCTTAAAACAGCTGGCAAAGTTACTGGCTCAAGGATGGTTGAAATTTAAACAAGTGCTGTGCTGGTTTTTTCCTTCTGTATAAAGAAACAGTTTTGTCATCTTGTCCTTGGAGTGGTTAGGGCTAGTCTAGGAACTTTAACTAGTTAGTTGGATTGGGGTTTTTGGGACATACACTAAACAGAGTAAAGGTTGCATAAAACTTGTAAAGGGGAAGCATGCAATATTTAGCATCTTGTCCCAGAGCTGCATCTTACAGAAGTATGGAGACTACTTTAGTCTCTGGTGACTGCTCTAAAATAACATATTTTGTGAAGCAATAAGACCTGCATTTCTTATGCAGGTAAACTTGAAATTGTAAGCCATTTTTGCTCAGAGTGGTCCGATAGAAAAATCTCAACTAGAGCATTAAGCTGTCATCACATTAGAAAGACTGTATTTTGTCAGGTAGTATTACAACTGCTTCATCTGCACCGATTTGGCATTGGTGATGTAATTATTGTATTTCATAGTACCCTGTTAATGTACTTTGTCATACAAGTAATGTTTTGAAGCTATGGTGGTGAGCCAGTTCTTTTGTGCAGGATGATATGTAGGAAAAAGAAAATCAGTTTCCTGAAGATATTGTGTGCTACACAGCTTTTTCTTCTGATTAATGATGTAGTATATTCGTTCAGTAAATAACTACCAAGGATGTCCCTTGCAATATGAATACCTAGTTCTTTAATACAAACTTTTTAAAATGGAAACTTTTATATTAAGTTACGTCATATATATGCCTTTAAAGAATTATCTTTCGTATTCTTTCTTTCAGGTGATGGAGACTTTTTTTTTTCCTGCTTTGTATCTAACATATAAACAATGTAATTTTTAATGAGAAAGAAACTTCAAAAATAAGTCCAGCTTAGGAAAGCAAAATTAAAAGTTTTTAAGGCTCCATTAGGATTCTTGTAATAGTGTGCTCTGCTTGTATGACAAACAAATGGCTTGGAGGGGAAGCTTCAATGTTAATTTAACAGGTCTAACACAGGCTTTTGAAAGTTGTGACAAATGTTTGTCTTTGAAGCCACAGATTCCAGCATGGTGGAGGGAGATTGCCAAATACAGATGGGAAGATTTGTTTCTTTCTTGCAGGTAGAGTATGTTTTGATTTCTTTTGACAGCAATTACAATCTTAATTTTACTTGCAAAGTGGATTTGACAGTCTGGAGTATCCTGCTTGCATCTTGCTGAAAGGCATTGCAGTGATTTGATAGTTACTATGTTTTGCCTGCAGACCTGTCACAACCAGCTGAGATATCACACATTGTTTTGGGTTTGGTTTTTTTTGTACTTGTCTAAAATTCTGGTATTCTAATGAGAGAAGACATTGCAGTTTGTGTAATCATTGTTCAAAGAAATTAGAATTTACTTAAGAAAGTAAGAGAAGATAAATTGAGGTTGTTTCATTTGACAGTAAAGTTAAAGATATCTATTTTTTGGTTTTGATTAGCAAATTCTAATTTTCATTGAACATTGGCAATGGATTGTTTATAAATCTTTTTTTAGCTGATAGAAGAAAACATGTACCTGGAAAAAAATTGCTTGTGCCTCACTCAAACTTTCAGGGAAGAACCCTCATTTCTTACACAGTTTGGTTGTTATCAGGGTCCTTTGCATGAAAACAGGATACGTGTTTCTTCTGAGGATTTCCTGTGCTCTTGGGTTTCAGTCTACTATGGAGTTTTCTTGTCTTCAGTATAGCTTAAGTGACTGTACCATTCCCAAAAATGTTTCTAATTTTATGCAATATTACTTGTAATGAAGTATCTGTGTTGAAGTAGAGAATATACAGGAAGCTTCCAGAATGTTTAAACAAATTCTACTTTTAACAAAGGTTAAAATTCCTGTTCTTGCTGTATACTAGCATGGCAGTAATCACTTACTGAGTCATAATAGGTGGAATGCTGTAGGAATTTGTTTCTCAGCCTCTTTTACTATTCCCAAGTGCAGCTAGTTGTTAGGATATCTTGGGGGGGGCTCCTAGTTTTTCAAGTTTTTTGTCCTGTTAGCTTTGTCGGTTTCTTCCTTCATTCTCTATTTCTTTCCGAGCAGATGTTTGAGAGACCTTTTAGTGGTTCTGAAATGGGGCTACATTACACTTGTGTTTTTTCCAGAGTTCTTCCCCCTCCCCCACCCTATCAGGATGCTCTGTCCAGGTGGAAGTTGAGAGCAGGGTGACTGGCTATCTGGGATATCTATATGCATTGCAAACCCACTCTGTAGAATGAGTTTCTGTTTGTTTATGGAGTATTTGCTGATGTGTATATTTATAGGGTAAATACAAAAATACAACAGTATTGCTTGTGAGCCCACTTTGCATGTATGCTATGATGGCTTGCTGATTGTTGAGCAACTTAGGAGAGAAGGGAGACGTAGGATATTGCCCCAAAGGGAAGGTTACTGTGCAAACAGGTGTGTGTTGCTTTGGGTAAAGCTATTAGGAAAACTTTTTCTTACTGGGTTTGTTCTTTTTCAACTGTTGTGTTCCCCTAAATCCACTCGGTAATAGTGTATATCCATAGACTGGGAAATGCTGTTCTGGTCAATGTTTTATGCATATCTCCAAGGGCGGTGTGAAAATATGAATGAAGATGACAAAAAATTTGCTATGCCAAAACTTTTTTTTCTTTTTTACCATTACCAAAACAGTGCTGTGAAAAACTAGTTAGGTACTCTTGATCCTGTAGAAGACAGTGTATTTGAAGAACTTGGATAAAGTGATAATCTCGTCCGTGTTATGCAGCTGTTAATATGCATGTGCTGTTAAATTGGACTGTTTCCTGGAAGTTCTGAAGTTGCAGCTTGTGCCCGTTCCCCAGGAAACATGATCTCAACTGTCTATTAATCCATTCCTCTGGAATCTGTTGGGTTTGTTTCAGCTGCATTTGGTAGAGCATTACAAGTATAAGAAGTAAAGACACTTTTATGTTTTGTGAAAACTGGTGACTAATAGAAGGCAGAAGCCCAAATAAGATCTATTTTTGATGGAGAGGAAGACAGAATTCAGCTGTTAGCCAGTCTTCTGGCAGGAGCAGCAGGCTGGCTGGTTAGCCAGTGTGGGCTGTCTGCTGTGAAGCCATCTGTGTACTGACTGGCTGGACTCATCGCATGATGACTTTTCCCTGATGGGATTATAGGGTGCATGAATGAGCAAATATTACTGCAGTTAAGGGAAACTCGGTTTCATTTACCCTATTGCTCAAGGAATGCCTTCTTAAAATCCATCATATAAACCAAGATCATAATTTACATGGTCAGAACCGACCTCTTACTGATTTTGTACTGTGTAACTGAGCTCAAGTTCTGCTGTAGTCAAACATACCTCTCAAAGACATTGTCTTGTTTTCTTGAAAGCAGTTTTCTGTAGTTAATCACTCTTACAGTATGTACAGGCTTCTGTGCTAATTTCTAATTTGAATTCAGCTATCACCAGCTCCCAGAGCGTGACTCTTGGAAAATGCACAGCCTTTGCTCACTAGATTCATCAGGGATATTCTCTCTGAAGGTACTTGGGCACTGTTGTCAAGTCACTTCTCGCTGTCTTTGATAAATTGAACTCTTGAAAACTTTTAGAGCAAGATATTTAAAGCACACTGAACTCCTTATGGTGACTCTTTTCTGTGTCTTCTTTAAAGAGTCAATATCCTTTTTAAAAAGTAGCCCTGGGTATCAGTTCTGGTATTGTCTTATCTAGATTTTCAAAGCCATATGCAAGTGCAAAATAATTTCTGTTTTCCTTATTATGCTTTTCTTTGTGTCCAAAGTGCCTGTTGGTCCCTTAATAGTCCAATTTATACTGGGAGCTTGTGTTCAGTAACTTCTTAGCTTAGTCCTAGATCCTTTTTTTGAGCTATTAGTTACTAGGATGATATTTTCCATCCTGCTTTAGGTCTGTCCACTGACTTGGATTAGGAATGTAGTTGGAGCTTGGACTGCAAATTCAATGGTTTATGTTCAGTGTTTTGGAAGTAATGACAATTTGTGTAAGAGGAGGGTCAATACATATATGCATTTTATTTTCTTGTATTTCAGGAGCTGTCTTGCTTTGTTACCCGATGTTATGAAGTGGTGGTGAATGTAGTGCATCAGTTGGCTGTTCTCTATACCAGCAACAAGTAATTATTCCCTAAAATGCTGTATTGTTTTTATGTAGTTAAATGTATAAAAAATGAATGTTCTGCTTAAGGCATGGTCATTTTTGGAACATTGTTGTCTAGAGATACGGAGAGTGCTTTGCTGTGCAAGTTTGGGCTTCATAAGCCATTATGAAAGTTGGATTTATTGTATTTTCAGAAAAGGCAGTGCTTTTGTATAATGAGATGCAAGATTTTTTTTTTATAGAATTGATGCTTCAGAGGCACTTAGTCTTTATGGTTAAGAGATTGTCTTATTACTCTTTCATCCTTGCTCTGTTTGAGAGGTTCCTTCTGTTGACTGATACAATGAGCTTCAGAAGCTTAAAAATCAGATCACTTTCACAGTCTTAATGTTTTAAATATGTCAGTTCTGGTATATATTCGTCACAGAACAAACCTGTTTTGAACACCTGAAGTTAAGCTTAGAAACAGCTGTTAGGTTTGGCTCCTCTGAAAACTTGGAGGAGAGTTTAGTTCTGAATAGAATTGTTTGGTTTAGCTCTGAATATAACTGCAGGGCTCTTGATTCCCCCCCTCTAGACAGGATAGCATCATTCTTCTCAGTTCTATTTGTTGTCTTACAACAAGGTAGACTTTCTGTATGATGCCGAGTGAACAAGGCTGGATGTGTAGTTTGGACATGGCTTGATGAAACATGTGAAGTGATTTTGTACTGTTGGGCTACAAGACTGTATGTATCAAGGCTCCTTGCTTTTAGCATAACTGACTTGGGAATTGCTGATATATATGTGCAGTGAATGCAGTCAGTCATTGGAACTAGCCGCATGCTGTACACTTAAAAATGCAATATTAAATTTGATCATAGCACACAGATTCCTCATAGTGTGTATACTTCTAAGCAGATTTTGAGAATTCTTTTGTTTTCTGAAGTTACTATGTTAATGCAGAAAAATGTACCCCGAAACAAAGAACATACTGTGATACAGAATTGATCTAACTGTTCTAAGGATGAAAAAGGCATTAAATATTTCTTTTATTTACAGGAATGCACCTAAAATTATAGAGACATCTGGAGTTCATTTTCAGGTGGGAATGACTTAGAGCCTCTTTTGCTTATGTAAATATATGTATGTCTCGATCATTAATCCTGAGAAAAGCAGCTAGAAACTGAATTTCAAGTACAGCTCTCAATATGGAATCTCCTTGAAAGGTTTTGTTTTGTTAATCAGTTTTTTCTGCCCTTTATGTGGAAAGGGCTGCTGTCTCCATGTCTGTCATAGTCTAGCTTTCTTAGCTGCAAAGTGTTTGCGTGCTCCCTTATTGTGTGCAATATGTGCTTCTGTGTGTAGATGATTTTGAAAATCCTACCTTCACTGTCAAATTAGATCAGTGAATTTAAAGCTGTGCTTGTACACAAACTAATGTTCCTTGTGTCACTACAAGAAATACTAAATCTTTAAGCTACCAAACCAAGAAATCTCCAATTTAACACTCTAGCTGATGTTTTGTTGGCTGATAATGTATTGAAAGGAACTGAAACTTTACTTTTGAAACATGGCACTAATAAACTTTTCAGTAACTACAGTCCTTTTCTTTTTGTTTTAAATAGGCAATGTACGAGCATCTGGGAGAGTTGCTCACAGTCTTAATCACTCTCGATGAAATAATTGACAATCACGCCACTCTGAAAGATCACTGGACCATGTATAAGAGGTGTGTCTCTGAAGGTGTGAAACATTCTCCCACAACATAAAGATAAAAGCATGTATGTATGTCTTTGTTCCAAGAAAGTCAGCGTGGGAACATGGATTTTGGTAGCCCTGAGAGTTTTCCAGAAACCTCATTGAAGGGTAGGGCTGAGCTCACACTTTGTCCTTCTAACAGCACCAGTAAGTTCTTTCAAGTGCTGTATGTTACCTATACCATACATGGTAAGCATCTTGACAAACAGTTATGGTTTATGGCGTTTAAAATCTATTCAATAAGAAATCTAGTTTTGCACATAACTGATCTAAGACTATCCATATTCAGCACGGGGGTGGGCATAGAGATTTAATTAAGAACACAGTCTTAAGTAAAAGCTGAAGAGTCAACAATTACAAAGGTAATTACATTAGTAGGATAACGACTGTTTCATTGAGAACCTGAATAAATGGGAGTTACTAAAATGCAAATGGCTTATACAGATCTAGTGGGTTTTGGTTTTTTTTTAATTTTGGAGTTGCTGCTGGGCACAGATGTGGGCAGTTAAAATCTATTATCAAAATAGTACAGGATATGATAAAACTGTTAGCGTGTTTTAATTGTGTCATATGTATGTGTTCCACACCTCCTCCTTCCAGGCTGCTAAAATCTGTCCATCACAACCCCTCTAAGTTTGGGATTCCAGAAGATAAACTGAAGCCATTTGAAAAGCTGCTCTTAAAACTGGAATGCCAGTTATTTGATGGAATGATATTTCAGGTAATGAAATGAATGTTCCTCAGTATGATAGGGGAAACTATTACATTAAAGCAACACTCTTTTTTAGAATGGTTTGTTTGTTTTTGTTTTGCTTTGTTCCGGATACAGTGATGTGTGAATTTGGCTCTTGCATCTGTGCATGGGAAAAAAAGGCTCTATTTAAGATCCTTCCTTGCTCTTCTCATGTGCTGGCTTGAACTGTGCCAGGCTTTGAATGGTAACAATTAACGCTTACTGTTTTACAGAATTAAAGAAATGCAGGCAACTTGGCATTAAGCCTGTGTATTATCAGGGAGTCTGTTTTTCACCAGAAATCTTAACAGTGGTCAGACCTACATAGTATAGGTCCGCTTTATTTAAGTCTCCTCAGTCATCCTGAAAATGTTAAGTGTGACGTCTTGTTACATATTTTTGTCTCATTCCTAGCATATGAGACCGGTAGCTGTCATGGGGTACCATTTCAGTGGTGTATACCCCTGAAACATGCAAGTGTACAGGTGGATGGGAAGGATTATTACTTTTTCAAAAGAGTCAATTTAAATGTGTTCATACAAGAAGCCATCTTTTTCTTAGAAAAGGGTGTATTTGAGAGACTGAAATTGGGTGGTGTGGCATGGTGGGTAGAGGACAGTGTTGCTGAATCTAGTCACAGCAGAGTCAGTTGAACAGGACTGTTGCTCAGTTCTTACTGTTATGTCTTGAAAGGCATAGGGAAGAAGGTTTTGTTCTGTAAAAGCCTCCAAAAGGGAAATTGTATATAAATAAACACAACTTGGCTTATCCTTTCAAAGGACATTGCTACCAGCTATCCATTTTTCATCTGTATTTCTCTAATATTGCATTAATACAAAGACTTCATTGTACGTGTGAGACATTGGTTGGGCTTGTCTGGTATTCATTCAGGATATAGAATCATAGAATGTTTCCCCTCCTGTCCTGCCAATGCCCCTTCCTAACAAAAATACATGAAAAATATTATCTCCATTAAAGACTTTTCTAATATTCTAATATCTTTAGAAAATCTCGTGTCTGTCTCTTGGTTTTTGTTTTTGTGTTTTTTTTTTTTTTTTTTCTATTGTGTGGGTTTGGGTCGTTTGTTTTTTTCAAACAGCCAACAGTGGTGTGGGGGTTTTATGCTACAAGTTCATGAACCACGTCCAACAAGCAACTTGCATGATAATTTTGTTTAGTTAATGAACAGTTAGTAACACAATGTAATAATGCAAGTATGCATCTAGTTTCTTATTGCTAGCACATCGTGTGGTTTCTTTAAAAATGCCCCTTAACAGAAATGTTAAGTAAATAAAATGGGGTTTTTTTAGTGCTAGGTATAAGAGAGGTTTTTAATGTTTTCTGCTATACTAAATAATTTAAGTATACTTAAAAAAAAAAATCTGTATGTTGTGAAGTCAAAACTAACTTCAGGTTCATGCTGTACAACATAAATTAATGTTCTCTTGCAGTATTCTTCTCTTGCAAAATCAGTATTCTTTTAGGGTTCAAAATGGCATTATCATTATGCTTTTTTTTTTTTTTTTTCCTTTTTGCTCAGGCCTGCATAGAGCAACAATTTGATTCTGTAAATGGTGGAGTGTCAGTGTCAAAGAACAACACCTTTGCTGAAGAATTTGCTTATACTCTCCGCACAACTTTCGCAAATGTTGAAGCCAAACTTGGTAATGCAAGCTCATGATTCTCCTGCCAGCTGCACTGTCTCTAAAATTGTATTATTTGTCTGGCAGTAGACTTAAGAAAAGGATTTTTTTGTGTATTTGTGCAGGCGAGCCTTCAGAAATTGACCAGAGAGATAAATATGTGGGCATCTGTGGCCTCTTTGTACTGCATTTTCAGATTTTTCGGACCATAGACAAGAAATTTTACAAGTCGTTGTTGGATGTCTGTAAAAAGGTGAATACTTTCTTCTTTTGTCAATAATTTAGAGGGGAAAAAATGTCTTCAGTAATGAAGTAGGTAATTTTCTTAGTTGTATGGCATAGCAAAGACTTGGGAAAACAAAACACACAATTTACCAAAACAAGTCAGGAAGCAGAATTAAGACTTTTCTCCTTTTTTGATCCCCCCCTTCCCCCAATTTATTTTAAAGATGCCCCAAAAACCTGTCCGTTCACTTAGCAGCAAGGTAAAATAACTTGAAATTACCATTAAAATGTTTCTTAAGCTTAACATCACACTGAGGACTAAAAATTGTTTGAGTTACGTGTGTTGTGAGACTGAATACATGCTTTGGGTTTTGTCCTTGGCTATAAACACGTATCTTGAAAGACCTCTAAGTCAAAGGTGACTGGTGCTTTTTCGTATCAGGTGGCATTAAGAAATTATTAAATTCTCTAATACTGTTTAGAATCACTGAGAGTGGTAGTAACTTTGCCTGTGGTGTCCTTAGTAGGCTTTTAGGGGAGAAACCTTTTTTGATGTGAATGTAATACTTTAGAAACTAGTTATGCAGAAATAAACTGAATTAATGTGTTATTGTTCAAAAGAGGCGTAAAAACCACACGTGGTGGCATAGTATTTGTTGTGGTTACTTATGTTTATTGCTGCATGTATTATTTTTCCCCTTTTTTTTCCTCCAGGTACCAGCCATCACATTAACTGCTAACATTATCTGGTTTGCTGACAACTTTCTGATTCAGAAGATACCAGCTGCTGCCAAACTTCTGGACAAGAAAAGTACTCATACAGTTAAAACGCAAAGGGAGAACTTTCTACAGCAGCGGGCACAGTCACTTACCAAGTATGCTTCCTACATACTGCTTCATGGTGACGTTTGGCAAACAGAAACAGCACATGGGTTTCTTCATTCAGTGTGCTAGCATGTTGTGTAGTGTTGCTCGGTGGTGTTGAACAATTCTTCTATTTCACTGCAGCAATACACATGTGTTAGTGCTGAAAAAGTGTTGGTCGAAACAAAGCTTTTTTCATGTCATGCTTTCAGAAAAATATATAATATGTCACCAAAATAACAAAGTTCCTGGCAGTTCTAAATATGCGATTGTTTCAGTTATTTCTACTTCTGTACTTTGACCTTCCTTTTTTTTAAACTAGTGTCTAGTAACCTGAGCTGCTCTGTTTTCTGTTAGGGCTGTCTGTTTTCTGTGTGTTTATGGAGGTAAGTTGCTAATAGGCTTATAGAGGGTTTTTTCTCTACTCAGTGATGATACTTTCTTTGCAAGCATTTCTTTCTTTATGACTGTTTTAATTGCTTGTTTAACAGTCTTTGAAATTATCTGTATTTGAAAAGGGTTCTCTTTTGTGCTCTGCATGTAGTTTGCAAGTCACTTCCTTCTCTGGGTGCTTTCTAAAATACATTTAAAGATGAGTTGGAATTTTTTTTTTTAGTTGTCAGCCTTATGAACAAATGCGCTGCGCTGCATAGGGAGATAGCAGGACTAAGGTTTCTGCTTATGTTGCAGACCAAAATAAGAAGGTGGAAGATGGGGTCTGTGGAACAGAAGTGAAAACTTACATTTTGCAGGTTGTCTTCCAGTCCTGTGTGCAAGCTGGCACAACTGGGTTGGAGGGGAGGAGGGAAAAGCAACTCCACGTCTACGTGATCCTCTGGCAGATTATTCTCACTACTGCCCTGTTTTCTGTTTCAATCCATCTCTACCTGGATACGTCCTACATCCACAGGAAGAGTCAAGAGCTCTGACTGAATTCTTTCCTGGGCTTTAATTCCTGCATGGAGCATAACTGCACTGCTGCTTTGCTTTAGTTCTTGGGCAGTGGTGCAAGTCATGTCTGTAGCTCTTGAGATTAAGAAAAGGTTGAAAAAAGATCTGGGTATTCACAGATGTTTTGCAGCTATTGTGATATGATGCAGATTTTACATCTGCTGATTCGAATTTTGCCCATAACTCTTTTTTTTGCCTTTTTACGAGGTCTTGCATTGCCTTTGGTGATTGGACTGTTGCCTTAAATATTGAGTATTCTTTAAAGTGTAATTTTTTATGTCATAATCAATGACCTGAATACATTTCTGCTATAAAGGCTATAATCAGTAGTATTGCAGTGTCACAATTCTGTAGCATGGAGTAAACAGAAGTTTTAAAAGTGAACTCTACTTAAACATTTAATTACCACTAGAGTAATTCAACCAGATTAGCTTCTGGAGAATTGTTATTTAAGAGCAGCCTAGTTTGTCATTGATGTAATGACAAGGTTGGGTTTGTGTTTTGGGGTTGGTTTTTTTTGGGTTTTTTTTTTTTTTTTATACCTATAAAAAACCCCAACTTGGAGGAAAAAAATGTGTAGGACTTTTTTTGTCTAGTATTTAAAAGCATTTTCTAGCAGTTTTATTTACTGTTTTAATTTAAAGAAGTGTAGTATATGTACTGCTAAGAGGGCCTTTTGTTCTCTTGATAGATAGATGATTCTGACTCTGGAGTATGTTTGTACAGATAAAATTGGCAGACTAATCCTTACCAATACAGAATTAAAATGTAAATGAGTATGAGGTTCTGATACTTTTGGGAATGGAGAGTTATTACTCTGGGGACTGAAGATTTAACGTATTTCCTTTGGAAGAATTTAAGCTTTGGAAAGAGAAGAAAATCCTCATACTCTTCCTATTTGAAGTAAGCAACATTGTTTGTTTGTTTGTTTCTCCAGAGATATGCAGTCATACTATGTTTTTGTGAGCTCGTGGATGACAAAAATGGAGTCTATCTTGTCAAAGGAGAAACGTGTGGATAGGTTTGCAGAAGATCTTTCTAACCGCTGCAATGTCTTCATCCAGGTGTGCAGTCTTTTAATGTATTGGTGAGGCAAACTGACATTTTAGTGCTGACAAGTTGTTGAACGTAAAAAAGAAATCACAGACATTCTGTGATCATAAGTGTGTTATTTTACAACGTGGGAATTCTTCTAAAACTTTAAATGTCCAGTAGGTGCTCCTTTAAGTAAATTGTAAATCTATAAAAGGTACTTCCATAAGGCATGTGGGGGAAGCAAATCTGATTAAAATATTCAGTGGCTAAAATTTTCAGTTTTTCTCTTAGGAAATCAAGAAAGCTTCATTTCCTCTGTAGTAAAGGTTTTGTGCTTTTTTTCCTTTTGAGTCAGTCATGAGGTACATAAGTTGGACTGAACCAGTGTCTTAATTGAGATTTATCTAGCACAGTACATACTTCCAGTAAAGGTCTTGTGTTGTTTCATTGTGCTTTGCCTAGTGATGGTACTTTGCAAGAATCTTACTACGTTCCGAGGCAGCTGGTTTTCTTTTGGCCTACTAACAGCATGTAGTCTTAATGTAAGATGTATCTTATTTCTGAATTTATTTTTTGCTAGTTTTGATATTTATCTATCTGCCTGACAGAAATCTGATGAGAGTAGGTGTGTGATAGAAGCATGGTCCTGAGTCTTCTATATCTAGACACATAGATGTTCTAGGATCTGTGGGTTTTATATTTGAATTATTTGCAGTGAACTTAAGTAAATTTTGCTCTGTCGCAAATTGAGGTTCCTAGACCACTGGCTGTCTTTTCCTGGTCTCTTTTTTTTGTTGTTGTTACTACTTTTCCTTTGAAATAAATTGAATAACATTTTTGTCACTCTGTATGTAATCAACATACATTGATTTAGAATTGATTGCTTTTTTTACTGTGGGATGGACGGTTCTGCTTAGGCAGTGTAGAACTGTGTAAATACACTGAGAGTATTTATTCCATGAAATCTGGAAGTTTTAGGTTTTTTTCTGTGATAGGCTGTTTTTTGGGGGGATGGGAGTTTTTTTGTGGGTTGGTTTACAATAGGTCTGAAATTATTGGACTTTTGAGGCTATGCAATTAATTCACTGACCTATGTTGGATTTGAATGCCTCTGGAAGAGGTGATTTAATGACTTGTAGGCAGTTTCATTGTGTCTGCCCAACAAAAGGGTCTCATTCAGCTTTGGGATCTCAGGCTTGCTTATTAGGTGGAGTGATAGGTTCTCTAGTGTGAAGAGGTAAAAGATAGTTCTGTCATGTATGAAAGAAAAAAAGAGAGGACTTGATTAATTGCTACGTTGTGAATTTTTTTCTTTTTCTCCCCCTTTACTCATTTTATTTTTAGGGTTTTCTTTATGCATACAGTCTTAGCACCATCATTAAAACTACAATGAATCTCTACATGTCAATGCAAAAACCTATGACCAAAACCTCGGTGAAAGCTCTATGCAGACTTGTAGAACTTCTGAAGGTAGGTTACTGGATGAAAACTGATGAAATATATATTAAACACCACCCCCTCACCCCCCCAAAAAACCACCAAAAACCCAAACCCTACAACTGAGTTTTGCGTGGCTTCTTGTTCAAGACTGGGTTCGGTTAGAGAACAGGAGATTTGGGAGGCTAGAGCTGATTTATTTAACTTCTAACCACCTTCCGTAGTTGGTATCATAGAATGATTGAGGTTTGAAGGGACCTCTGGAGGTCATCTGGTCCAACCTCCCCCTGCTCAAGCATGGCCACCTAGAGCCAATTGCTCAGGACCATGTCCAGATGGCTTTTGAATATGTCCAAGGATGGAGACTCCACAACCTCCCTGGGCAATCAGTCTGTGCCAGTACTTTGTCACCCTCACAGTAAGAAAACATTTCCTGGTGTTCAGAGGGCAACTCCTGTGTTTTATTTTGTGCCCGTTGCCACTTGTTCTGTCACTGGGCACCACTGAAAAGAGCCTGGCTCAGTCGTCTTTGCATCTTTCCTTCAGGTATTTATATACGTTGATAAGATTCCCCCACCCCAAACCTTCACCTCCAGGCTGAACTGTCCCAGCTGTCTCAGCCTTTCCTAATACGTGAGATGCTCCAGTCCCTTAATTATCTTCGCGGCCCTTGCCTGGACTCTCTCTAGTATGTTCATGTCTCTCTTGTACTGAGGAGCCCAGAACTGGACCCAGCACTCCAAGTGTGACCTTGCCAGTGCTGAGTAGAGGGGAAGGATCACCTCCCTCAACCTACTGGCAATACTTTGTCAAATGCAGCCAAATATACCTTTACTTTTCTTGGTGGCAAGGGCACAGTGCTGGCTCATGTTCAACTTGGTGTCCACTAGGACCCCTAGGTCCCTTTCTGCCAAGCTGCTTACCAGCTGGAGGGCTCCCAGTATACATTGGTGCGAGGGGTTGTTCCTTCCCTGGTGCAGGAGTTTGCACTTCTCCGGGTACTTTCTCCAAAAAGAAAATATTCTGGTTTGGGATAACTTCAGAAAGTGATGTTGAACAGAGCTGGATTATTTAAAAAAAAAAAAAAAATCGACCCCAAACCCAACAGAACATACATTACAGTCCTGAAACTTTTTTATGCTCCTGAATGATTTGATTTTCTCAGTTCCTAAAGGTTAATTGCAACTGCTACTAACAGTACATTACAAAGTGGAAAGAGTCTGTATTTGCAGTGTGAATGAGTCTGCCAGCATAAAGCCAAATTCTAAAGGCAATGATGTCATTAACTACATGAACTATTGTGTTCTGGGATTGACTTTAGGCAATAGAACACATGTTTTACCGGAGAAGTATGGTTGTGGCAGATTCTGTGACACACATCACTCAGCATCTGCAGTATCAGGCTCTTCACTCTATTTCTGTAGCCAAGGTATGTAATCCAAGTTCTAATAACTAGTCTTCTTAGCTAAGTGTTTAAAAAAATCTTCATTTAAAATTATTTCCTCACTTTTACAAAATCTGTAGTATTGCTCTATCATAATCAACAGATATATATAAGCTTTCCAGTAGGTCAGAGCTTTGTCCTAGAAACTGTGTAGCACGGATAACTATCTATTTTCGACCAAGAATGGGTCCTCTCTTCCTCTAAACTGCTGTATCTGTCATGTTCCTCTTGTGTTCTTTTTAGCTTTTATTTCTAGCGATTTTCACAAACTGACCTTTTCTTACTGCTTTTCTGATGCACATTCTTAAAGCAATCTGTTATAGGTCTAAGCAAACAGGCTGTTATTTATTTAAATCTTTGTCTGCGTGGCAAAATAGTAGTGGTTCATACATGATGGTTTACAGGAGTCTAATGCGGGTATAAATTCACTATTTCTTTGTGGGGTAAAATGGCTTCTGGTAGTGAGACACTGTAATATCTACATATTATCCTTCTATAAACGAGATCAGTTTACTACACATTTTGCTTATCAAATCTTGAATTTCTGAATTCAGGGCAAATGGGAAAATGAGATTTTAGTATACCTGTTCTGATGTATTAATTCTTTCATCACATTCAGTAGCAGAATTACAGAGGAGATATGCTACTGATATCAGTGCAGTTCTTAAATTTTCCTTTTAATTTTTTTTTTTCTTGTTTTGACCATGCTCATATAAATGGATTATAGTTTTAACAGTAGACTTTCATTGTTTGGAAGTTCGATATGTTTGAAATTTGGCTGTAATCTCAATTTATGTATGTGGCATCTCCATATTTTCTAGCATAAGCAAAATACCCAAAAACTTGTACTTCTAAAAAGCTGATTGATATATATATATGTAATATATAGATATGTATGTGTATATGTGTGTGTGTGTGTATATATATGTGTCAGGAGTAGCATGAACCAAAAAAGTTCCAAGGTTCAAAGCTACTAAGAAAAACTGTATCTTCAAACAAACAGTTCACATGAAATTTAGGTAAATACCATAACTTTTTCCAATGATACCTGTAATTACATTGCAAATTATTTTTAAATGCATAGAAATATGCTGAGACTTGTGTACTGGGTGGATATCAAAGAGAGAGTATCTGTGAACAATTCTGGGTATTTTGACTACTTTTCAGAAAAGATGTAAGATGCAAATGCTGGTAAATAGAAGAATTCATCAGTGCTAATCTTTTTTTGTCTGCTCCACTTAGAAACAAAGTGTTGTAAGGACTAAGGCATATATATACCTAACATAGCTTTAGCACAGAAGGTTA